AATTGTCTTTAAACCTATTATTTCTCAAGCTACATATGTATGTATATAATCGAGCTATCAATGGGCGGTTATTCACATTCCCACTTCTACTTGATCATTTGTTTTTTCTGTATTATGAATTTGAACCTGAACAGGCAGCAGCATTACTTTTTATTAAACATAATGTTCCAATTTCAAGTACTCAGTAAAATAAATACATATTATTAAAAATTATTGACTTTTCCAATTTTTTATTTACCTAATACATACAGCTAATTTAACTACCTAAATTATTTTGTAAAATTACTTCACATCCGCATTCGCATTCGCATCCGTGGATATTAGCTTTTAGACATCTAAAATTTCACATTCGCAACAACCCTAATATATACGTATGTATGTACATAAGAGTATCAAGCGCCAACTTCGGCGTCACTAAAAGTCGAAGTCGAAGTCGACGTCAACGTTATGATCGTCGTCATTTGTGTCTTCGCTAACTTCAATGCTGCCCCCAGTAGTATTTGATTGTAATTTAAATATGTAGTAGGCAGCTTTTATTTGAGCTTGAAAATGATGAATGAATCTCGCTACTGCTGTTCGCTCTCATTACGATATTTAAGTAGTATCCCCATATATGTAAATATGTATTTATGCGAGTAGTTAGTTAATTAACTTGCGATACAGCGCAAAACAACTTACCTTGATATTGTAGTAACTATCTAGTTAGTTGACGCGGAAAACTCTTTAACACTGATATTATCGCATCGCAAAAAACACACACACACTCAAACAATAACAATAGCACAACAAGCAGAATGATAATAACAATAATGTGCTAGTAATATCAAAAGCAAAAGCGTCAACGTTCGTTGGCTTTTATATTGTTTGTTGTCACTCTGCTGGCTGACTGGCTGGTTGGTCGATTGGTCGGTTGGTTGGCTAGTCGATCGTTTAGGGGCAGCTAAAACAGTTAAAATGTTGTCGATACACTTGCGCTTCGCCAGTTCAGTCGTCGCGAGGAATTGAAATGAGAAGGATCGGTTAAGTACGGTGATTCAAAAGTGTATTGGACAGAATTTGAAGTGTAAAAGTTGGAAATTTTTAACGGAAATTGTTGGAGGCTTACCTCTGTATATGTAATAATTTCAAAAGTGCTAGTGTTTTATATTTTTTGGTTATAAAAAAACGTAAACGTATTGTTGCCAATTTTTAGACAATACTGTAATTATGTCATTACAAAGATTTAAAGTGCTTTTTTTTATAAAGTGCACTTTTAAGTGTGCAGTTTTTAATTTATTAATTTTAATGCTTCAGCGTAATTTAAATGTAAATCGAATGTGAGAACTTGTACGTTCATCTTGTTTGCTGTTTCACTGCGCATGTAGTACATTAGACCGTACCAGAACAAAAAATTCACCGCACACACACAGCTAATTTCGAAGAAAAATTTGTTTGGCCGAATATTTTTCGTTATATCTTCATCATTTCGTCATTTATAGTCGGATCTTAAAGCCCGAGGAGAAAGTTATTTTTGTTCATTGAGCTCTAGTACCCCGTTCAAGTACTTACATACCGCATCTCAGTTCCTATAACCCTAACGTACCGCCCTAATGTCGGTGAATTAAAGCTCGCCAAAAAGAATTAAACTTTGCCTAAGCAAGTATTTCGACTCGAAGGCAATTTCGATTATTATTATTATTTTTTTTTTGACGAACGTAGGGATCGCCTTCTTGCAGTTTTCGTCTTATCTTCGGTATTTGCAGGCGGATCTTAAAGTATGATTAGTATATTGATGTTCTTATCTCGAGGAAACTTTTTTCATTCTAGAGAGTTCAGCGTCATTTAAATGTAAATCTAACCAAAACTCATTTAACTTTTGCTAAGGAAACATTTCGATTAAAATTTATAGGGGGATCCCTAAAACATAGTTTAGACTCGGGCGTGTACTGTGAAATTTGTTTTCGCTTGCTTGCAAAGTGGTGCGATCTAATGTGCATACTAGTATATGTAGCTGTTATACATATTTTGTGTAAAAATAAGACAAATAAATATTTTTGGCACTGATCTTAGTATTTTAGTAAAGACGCTAATTGAATCGATGCGTTCGACAACCGTAAACGTCCGAAATTTGACATTTTAAATTCAGAAAGGCATTTTATTTAAAATGTATCTCTTCATCCATTGCGCTTAAAAACCGTACTAGATACTTAACCGTTAATGTACTAAGCCCATTGCACCTGTGAGAAATGAGGAATGGGGGGTAAGGTTCTTCCCGTGTCCGTGACTTGCATTGTATTAAACTGAACTTTTGGAAAAATATATATTTTTTTTAAATAATCTTATCCATGAAATTTAAAAAGTCCTTGAAAAAAAATTCTGACGTCACATAGTGCCGCATAAATGGGCAAAAATCGAAAAATTCGTTATCTGCAATGTGAACTTGTTTAGTATTTTTTAAAGATAATTTATCCACTAAAAGGAATTAGTGAGATAGTAGAGAATTACAGGAATTAAAATTTGGGAATAAAATTAAACACAGGGTGTCCCTGCGGTATTCCAGAAAAACAATTGTTTTAAACAAAACTTCAAAAAATTCTTAATTTTAATGGAATGAATAAATTTATATGTAAAAATTGGTTATTTTTTATTATTTTATTAAACAGTACGATTAATAGCTTTAAAAAGAAGAAATAAAAACCTGCTCATTTCATGCACTTTCTGAAGTAATTCGTTTTTCGCTAATTCATAAAATAATTTTTTCATTTTTTGTCAGTGCCTTGAGATCTGTACGATTCGTTCCATTTTGAATGAAGTGTCAGATTAAAAAGCTTGACCTGTGGATAATAGGAGGCTTATTTTTTTTTAAGAGTTGCCACCTGTGAAAAAATTAGTTTGTTCAAAAGTTATATTCAAATTTTTTATAAGTTAAATAAATTATTAAGAGATGGGTATCAATCGAAATGGGTAATAACTACATGCTGCGGGTTGCCACCTGTTTAAAAAATTATATTCCACTTGAATTAAAGGAATTAGATAATTGAAATAGATAGGTATCACCATAAGGGAGTCAGACGATAGAAGTTTAAGAAGGTTTTGGCTAAAAAATATTACGGACGGGGTTGCCATCTGTTTGTAAAGTCGAATTTAGTTAAACTAAAATAATAATTACGTCAAACCATAGGATTACGCCATCGTATTTGTTATTTTATTACAATTACATACATTATCAATCTGTGATTTGTTCTGATTACATTCCTTTTAAATCNCTTGAATTAAAGGAATTAGATAATTGAAATAGATAGGTATCACCATAAGGGAGTCAGACGATAGAAGTTTAAGAAGGTTTTGGCTAAAAAATATTACGGACGGGGTTGCCATCTGTTTGTAAAGTCGAATTTAGTTAAACTAAAATAATAATTACGTCAAACCATAGGATTACGCCATCGTATTTGTTATTTTATTACAATTACATACATTATCAATCTGTGATTTGTTCTGATTACATTCCTTTTAAATCACTGTACTCTTAAATTAACTCAGGAATGTTTTTACTCTTCACTTATTTCTTTCTAAATATGTATGTCAAATTTTTTAATTTTTCTGATAATAATATTTATATACATATTTCAGTTACCTTATTCCCTTAATTAAAGTGAATTTGATTTTTAAACATGTGGCAACCCTTGTACGTGTCGGTTAGAAGTAAACTGTTTTCAAAGCTAGTTCAATTGATATCCATATTGTAATAGCTAATTCATTTGATTTATCAAATAATTTTAACAAAATTTGTAACAGGTGGCAACCCTTTTCAAAAATAAAAAACTTTATTGCACATCAACAGGCCTAGCATTGTTATTTGACATTGCACTTTTGAAAATAGAACGGACTATATAAACATACCTATGTAAAAGCCACAAGAACCCAAATTTTCAACTTCAAACTGCATTTACAATGAAAGTATGAAAGTTATCCAAAAACAAATAACATTTTTGAATTTAGCGTCCTCAATTTTACTCAGAAGCGAATTTTCATTTAAATCCGTCCATAATTCTATTTTTGCCCACATTTTATATGGAAGGGAAGCACTGTGCGTCAGAAAAAAACTTTAAACACAGTTTTTCTTTATTTGGTCCTTAGTTTTAATAGCATATTGATTTGTTTTATGTGTAAAATTTACTCTCGCACAGTGTAATATATACTTATGTACGTGTATAGAATGCGTTCAAATCGGTCCGGCGGTATGTCTAAAATTAATTTTGGCCAGAAAAATGGGTGCTGAGGCTAAAGATATAGAGCCAAGATATAGGATATAGTTAGAACAAAGACTGATATGCAAAATTTGCGATTGATATAGAAGATGTAACCAAGCTTTAAAAAAAATAGTGGGTTTTTTAAGTGCCTACAATACATATCTGTGTTCGTATGGAAAAGTAGCTTATGTCGAAAGGCTGGCTTTAGTATAAATCGGCATTCGCAGCATACGATTGCGAATGACTCACTGGCGCTGAGCTGTTGTAGAACTTTTGCCAAATAAACGTGCAAGAAGTAGTTCCGATACTAGCAAGTCAATATTCTTATTAAGTCTCATCAAAAAATTCCTTGCCGTTTAAAGAGTAAAGGGAATGCCGCATTATACTAAAGCCAGCCTTTCGACATAAGCTACTTTTCCATATGAACACAGATATTAATAACTAGCCACTTAACTGAAAAAGAGAAGTTGAGAATTCTACCTGTTTAACTGCAAAATTATTCTGCGACTTCAACACAATAACAAGAAGATTAAATGGCATGAAAAATGTCCAGCTTCAGCATTCACTTTCGTTGCTTCTTCAGCGACAATAACATGATTCTTGCGATCACTTCAAACTGTCGCTGACATGGCTTAATGTTCTTAAGCCATAATTGCCCTTAACCTTGAGCGGCTGAATAAGTAGATTGTGCGATTGCGAAGCTGCTACATTTGTATATATGTATGTATGTTGACCAGTCTCTTGTCAGTTTTGTGGCTTGGTAATTTTCCCAAGAATTGGAGGAGATGGTTTACTTTATTTTGTTTTAAATTTTTTTTTTATTGTTCAGAACGCTTCTAGAATTCTAGCAAAAGTCAACAATCCAGTAATATTCACACATATAAATTTACATATTAATACAACACAATTTCGCATTCTACTTATCCAGCTGGACTTTTGCTTGCATGTTTTTCATGCCATTCTCATACATCAAGCTTAACTGTTCAATCACTTCGAAGCATACATATATACATATATACATACATCCGCACATATAAATGCATTCATATATCTATTTATAAGCCGATCAACGTCTTCCCACAATTGGGTTATCTGTACAAGGTATTCAGCTGCTATTTAGCCAAGGTCACTTACTCGTTCAATGGGTGGATTACAGTGTACAAAGTGGGTCCTCACTTTTCTAAATACCTATTCGTTTCACTTATCGTGATTAGTTGTGTCACGAATGTTGTTTTATCTTAGTTAAAGTTAAGGTGAAGAATTTTCTCATGATTTGCTTAAAACAATTGTTAGTTACACCAATCAAATAAATTTGCATATAGGTTACATTGAGGTGTAGAATTATACACCATTGTACACCTGAAATTAACAAGATATGTAGTAAAATAAAAATAAAATAAAATTTAATAATTACTTAAATATCAATGCGCTTAACCCATTAATTAAACTAATAATTAGTTTTATTTGCCATTTACTCAGCCTGAATGAGCGACAAATCGATTCCAACACGACAATTACGACATATGTAGCCTTGAACATGAACATGAACATGGCGGCATAAATTTGCATAGAAGTTTTTTTGCGCCAAAGCCAAATAAATAAAAGTTTGAAACAACAAATAGGTGTTGCGTGAAATTTTATTTTATTTCTTCTTCTTCTTCTTGTTTGGCGCTGTAACCGCCACCTGGTGTTTCCATAGCAGAGGAGGCCCTACTCTTGCTTTGTTGAATACTTTCAGGGCTGAAGCTCTTATCTCCAGTCGTACAACATGGCCGAGCTAGTGAAACCGCTGCATTTTAATCAGCTGCACTGTGTCCATGTGGTCGTCGTAGCAGGGAGGAAAGGAAAAAAGATATTTGCGTATTCCAAGCTGAGGTTTCAGGTATCATATAGATGGATATAGAGCGAACCTACATACATGACATATGAACTTGTAGACGTGTCCTAATTTGGGTCGAAAACGATCACGTAGCGCCAAGTAAGAAGAAGTGCTAGTTCCCATATACACATACATATGATAGTGTCGATATGGTGAGTGTCGATCCTTCTCTCGTGGGTATTTTATCAGATTTGGTGTATGGTAAATTATGTGATCTATGATAAATTTCCTACTAGGTCTGAAGCCACGCTGATAAGGCTCAATCAATTAGTTTACGGTGGGCTTCAACGCGGCAGTTGTCGAATATTGCGAGGCCGCCTGTCTCTTATCTCCTCATCTGCCCGACTACTTTGAATGATATTCAGAAAGTCGGAGAGGCGTGACTTCCATACATTTAGCACGTCCATCTGAAAAATCTCCTGCGAAGTCGATTACCCACAGTCCTTTAACGGACGTTTCGTCGTGGAGGCTGAATTATGCTTTACCATCCTATCATCAAAATCCCCTAGCACGATTTTGATTTCGTGACGGAGGTAGCTTTGAGCGCTTCCATTGGGATGTGAGTGCCGTCGGCATGTAGGCTTAATTCGCCTAGATGGGACTTGTTTTGACACGCTAGTTCTCAGGGATTAACGACAGTTCGTTTGATATGCTTTCTTTGAAAGTTTCACTTAGACCTTTATAGTGCAAATATAATCCAATAGCCGAAATTAGCAAACGACCCAGCCTAATATTTGCTTGCACAAGCAGTGAAGTTTCCTGGATTAATGAGTATCCAAGGTGAGCAATTGTTTCCGTAATTTTTCCAGCAGCTGTTTAAAAACGTGCCATATTTTCCCCCATCTTTCAGCTATTTATAAAACCTTTATAAAGTTTTAATGCCTGCAACATCTGAAAGTATTGAATCTCTGAAGTATGCCAACATTTTTTTCAAAGTCGATTTTTTTTGTGGAAATATTTTTTTCCGGTTGATAATTTTGTTCTCCCTTTATAAAAAACTTTTTCAATTCGATAGTGAAGTACAAAATACGTTGAGCGGAACGAGAGAAAAGCTAAGAACACTCAACAATATTAGGCTAAACCGCGGTCAACAATATCCTCCTTAAACATTCTTACATAGCATAAGACTTCGATAGGTGTATTATCTTTAGTACTTAGAATTTCTATAGGGTTGCCATCTATCTAAAAAAAACTACCAGCACCCTTTTTTGTATCACAAAAATTGAGATGTCACATGAAAGGGCTTGGTTTTCAGATGTTCAATAAGTTTTTCTGTTGTCAAATAGGGTTGCCTTCTGTGGGCTGTTCATTGGACTAAAAAGTGAGGTGTCAAATGGAAGGACTTGACCTTCACATAAGTAAAACGATTTTATTTTTAGAACAGAGTTGCCGCCTGTCTAAAAAATTATAAAACTATATTATTCGTTTCATTAAAAACATGCGATGTCAAATGAAAGGGCTTGGCCATTAAGTATCCAATAAGGCTTCATTTATTTGAATAATTTTGCCTCCTGCTTACAAAATCACTGTATAAAATTCAATTAAAAATTATTAATAAAATTTCGAATAATTGCCATTTTTTTCATCCTTGTGAACTATAAAATATCATTTCCCCAAAAAAGCGCGACCTTGGAAAAAATGTTGGTTCGCTTCAGAGATGTACATATGTATGTGTGTATGTTCATCACTTTATATACGAACATACATGCGATTGTACACATATTATTTAGTTCACTATGACTAAATTTCACTGTTACCATAATTATTATAAGTAGCTACCTCTAGCTAAGTTACAGCTACATAAATGTATAAAATTTAATTGCTGCCTCTTTTTAGCTGCATTAATTTTAGTGGATGGTGCAGCATTTTCGTAAGTAATGCTCTTAGCTTTGATTGCTCAAACAAATTTTTCATAAAAGCCTTACTAAGTAAGTACAATTGCTCAAGCAAGCGACACACTTTCGAGAGCACTCAATTTAAATATATCACACAATTTAAAAAAAAAAATTGCACATATTCAGTTTGCTTTTTGAATAAAAATGCATGCGAATAAGTATCTCTTGAAATACGGGCCAGTAATTAATGCAACTAAGTAGATAAAATATACTCTAAGATGTAGACATAATATTTAGAGGTATTCAGGCGTTAATGCGAAATGCTGAGTTTTATCAAAAACAAACAGCCGAAAATCTCGCATCAGTCATTGCATTTGCTTGTGGTTGGTAAAGAGTGAAATGCACTGACTGATGCGAGATTTTCGGCTATTTTGCTATTGATAAAATTTCTCAATTTCGCATTTCGCACCGATGCAATGCATTTCACATTAACGCCTGAATATCTCTAATATTACCGAAAATTTATTTGCGAAGAAGTAAGTATAGCCGGGTAGGGAAGCTGATATCTACTGCAATATTCGCCACTTATGTATGAAAACGTGTTCGCATGTATTTCAATTGGAATTGCTGTTATCCAGCATTTGCCAGTTATGGGAAAAATCCTTATTTTTAATTTTACATCATAAAATGTGCAAGTTTTTAAGTAGCTAGGACTTCCCCTCTGTTGACTTATGCCAAATTTTTGGTTTGCGAATTTTCTTCCATACAAAATATGCTCGACAATTTTTTTTGTATGGAGAAAATGAGCAGCACTTTCCACAAAAAAAAAACAAAATAAATAAAAAATTGCCAAACATCAACGGTAAGTCTTCGCCATTATTGTTTTAACGTAGAATAATTTCTAGATCTAGGGTGACAATAAAAAATATCTACATATGTATGTATGTACGTACATAAGTTCACTAACCTTCAATAAAAATCTGTGATTAAATCGGCAAAACTGGCGCAAGTACCTAGCTAATGATTAATGTGCATAAATTTTACTGTTGAATGTTGTAAAATTTGGCGCAAGCTTAACAATACGCTATGCTGAGAAAGTGTTTCTGATAAGCAAATTATAGCTGATTATAAAAACCTGCAGATATTAAAGTTTAAAAAAGCAAATAAGTAATAAAACGTAAGAAAATGTGTAGACGCCATTATGGGTAAATGAAATAAAATTGTCGAAAACAAGAGGGCGATCAAAAAAACGTCAACGCATTTACCATTGCCGTTGTATCACCCTAACGTTCGCAAAATTTGTTAAAAAATATTGTTCTTTTCTGATGTAGATATGAAATTTATAGAAAAGTGGATAACTAAATATTTGAGAATAATTTTCCAAGAAAAACTGTAAAAAGTATAACACGGCGAAGATAGCATGTATTATTCATTAGTCCCCTCTTGTCAAGATGGTGTACATGGGCGTAGTCAGAACGAAGTTTAGGGTGGCCTCGTATAAATTTTTTTCAAAGCCAATAATTTTTACTAAAAAATTGTTTATTATAGCTTAAAATTATTATAACCAATAGAGCTATGTTGTACAAAAACACATAAATTGAAGTTCACAAAAGTTGATAAAAAAACTATTCGTCGATTTATGAACTTATTACTGCACATGTTTTTTTTTCCGAGGAGGATGCATCGAAAGCCTAACCCCGTCAGGGTGAGACTTTAAGCCAAACTAAAGCTCCTACCGTTAAGCACCGTTCCTCTCCTACTACCACCGTCAAGGATTTCGTCGGGATAATAACACTGTGTGACTACTTAAGTTATAAATCTAATGAAGCCCACAAAATATGCATACTTAGGGCCGGTTAATCAATGTCCGCTTAACACTAATCTCCGGTTAAAAATCGTTATCGATGTCGTCGACTCCAGCATATAACAAGGAGTCGGTAACGTCGATAACGATGTTTCACCGAAGATTAGTGTTAACCAGACATTGAGTAACCGGCTCTTAAAATTCTGAATACCCCCTCAAAATCTGGACTTTCCTTGAGCCTTATAATTTTTCTTAACGAACGACATGATCAAGCCAGCGTAGCGTATTTTGACTCGCTGCACTTATTTGTATTAAAAATTTCTTACCAAACATTTCCCAACTTAATTTCCTTAACAGCTTAAAGAGTGTAACAACTAATTAAATTAATTATTTTGCACAACTCACTGCAGAACTAAAAAGTCAAATCCACCTGCAAACTGCAAACACAACACTCGTACAAATATAAAACGATAGAAAAAATACAAAAGCACAAAATGCAATACCCAGTCGGCCGCCAACGTCGCTCGATTGGCCCCTTCTATTTGTTGTCAATACTCGTCCTATTGCCGGCATTGCTCAATCCGCAACATCACGTGGCTGCGATTACGACAATTAACTCGGAAGTAGTGAGCACAGAGCAACAACGACCACAACAGCAACCAACACAACCCACGCCACAACAACAGCAGCAACAAAGCGAAAAGCAACAAAGTCAACAGCAAAGCAACACAAAGCCAAACATAATTATCATTTTGATAGATGATATGGTGAGTTTTACCACCTATTTTATTCTTAACTAATATTCACCACAACCGTGATTGGTTGGTGATGTGTGAAATAAGCGTGAGAAAACCGAATATTTACTTTGGAAGAATTTGATGCGAGTGAAGTTTACGTTAGGTTAGTAGGGCGCGTACGAATGACTCATACTTCCACTCGGAGGCAAATTTGCCCATTGTGAATGCCCTCTGTGAGTGTCAGGAGGTGGCTCATCCTTCTAACCGTAGTTAATCCATACGGTCAGTATAAAGTCTTTCAAACCATTTACTATACCAGATGAAGCCGTGGATTTTCGATATTTTCACCTCCGCTGTCCCCCAAGGCATTAAAAGTATGGGAATCTTAAAACTAAAATCCCAGGATAACGTGAGGTAATAAGTTTCGACATCTTAGTCGGCCTAATTTGTGTTACGCCGTCCACTATTAATTACCTCCAAGACCCGATGCATGCCCATAGTTGGTCTGCTCCCACAGGATGAACTTCATTAAGTCAAAAGAGTTCGAAGTGGAGTGATGCAAATTAATTTGAACCACTTCCAGCTAACTCCCTGGTGCTTTATGGCCTTGTACCAGGTATTCGAACTTTACCGGTGCCAAACCCGAACTTGATACTGCCCTCCCTGAACTTAATGTTGTCGAGTGACGTTTGGTCCACCGCGACCAGCATATCGCTCCCGGTCCTCGTCTCGTAGGTGGTCAAAGACACCCCTTGCCATTGAGACCTGCTCAGCCCGAGGTTTTGTCGTCCGATTAATTTCAAGATGGACTCCGTGCTGATAGTTATCTCCAGCTGCGCTCCTGGCCAAGGTAAGCCAGGACCAGAGTGAAGTTTTAAGTTAGCGAGATTTGAAAATTTCTTTTTGCGTGAGAATATATGAAATTACTCAAAAAAAAAAAAAAGAGAAAAAATAATACCAGTAATGGTACTTATACTTATAAAGTTTTGTAGTTTTGGTCAGTTTTAGTTAAGCCTTAGTTTAGGTTTAAGGTTACCTAGAGATGCGTTTTTAAGGTATAGAAATATGTGAGAGAGTACAAGTCTGAGTAGTAAGGAGCAAAATCTATTCAACAAAGTGTGATTGATTTTGACATTGCTCTCAGAAGAACCATCCTGTAGAGTCAAATTGAAAAAAATTTTATGAATTTTGAATCGCTTGTATACATTTTTTGACATATTATTACTTCAAAAGGGAGTCTGCCTGAGTTGTCACTCACACCTTGTTTAACACACCTTGGTAAGGAGCTTGCACACAACAATTTCTCCTTCATTCTTGTTTTCGTACGAGTTGAGAATTTGAAATTTTCCTTTCCTTTCGAATCGTATGAAAACAGGAACATTATTTGCGGTCCCTGGGTTACTGAAAGATTTCTGAACTAAGCTAATCGAAGACATTTTTCCTTAAACTTCGTATGTATTTGTCACCTTGACATCAATATAAATCGTACCTTGACCCTTACTAAAGCTGGTGGTTTACTTTGCTATTTGACGTTTTATTTTTTTAATTTCAATTTACAAATTCTATACGCAATGCAATAAAGAATTTGTACTGCTTTCCTAATACTTAAGCGCTTTGGCCGGCAAAAAAAAAAAATTGCGTAAGGCTCTTAATTAAAAGAGATTACAATTCACATATACGCAGCTTGAATATACCCTGCACGACTAAACACACTTCATGAGAGCAAGAAACGTTCGTTCATTCATTTCTGTTCACTTTCAACAAGATTACTCATACGCCGTGTACTCAAACGCTTACACATATTCTCTACCTTTTGTAGGGCTTTAACGATGTCAGCTTTCATGGCTCGAATCAAATATTAACACCGAACATTGATGCGCTCGCCTACAATGGCATCATATTGAATCGTCACTATGTGCCCAATTTGTGTACTCCGTCGCGTGCGTCGTTGCTCACCGGCAAATATCCAATACATACAGGTGAGTAGTATGCCAGTAGCGCCAGTAGCGCCAGTAGACATATATGTATTTGTAATGCACAGTTAAGTGAGTTTGGTGGCGGGAGAAAGGATTAATTGAAGTGGCTTAACGAAAGCGCACACAAAATGCCACGCTTAATTAAAAGGCAATACAGTGGCGATGCCTTTTTTAATTTTTAATCAACACACACATTTTTTACAGATTTTGTTTTTGTCATGCAAGCGTACAGTTGCCTCACATATTTTTTATGCTCAACTTTTGCTTTTTTTTACGCATCTGAGACTCTTCTTTTTTTGCCCCAAAATCAACGACATGCGCCTTTTAGGTATGCAACACTCCGTCATCATTAACGATCAGCCGTGGGGGCTGCCAATTGGCGAACGTCTGCTGCCCGAAATACTACACGATGCCGGTTATGCAACAAATTTAATAGGTAAATGGCATTTGGGTTTCTGGCGCAAAGAATTGACGCCTACATTGCGCGGTTTCGATCATCATTTCGGCTACTATTCCGGCTACATTGATTACTACAATCACACAATGCATATGCTGGTGAGTTGAAAGCTGCAGTGAATTTAATGGCAATGGTTTGAGTTTTAAATTTTATTAAAATGAATTTAATCCGAAATTTTATATTATTTTTCAAAGACTTACGAGTATTTTTGTTGAATTTTTGCTTCTTTAGGACCGCAATTACTCGGCCGGCTTGGATTTCCGTCGCGACTTGTCGCCATGGCCTGAGGCTGATGGCCTTTATGCAACTGATGTTTTCACACAGGAAGCGGAGCGCGTTATCTACCAACATGATGCGGCGGCAAAGCCTTTGTTTCTGCTAATGAGCCACTTGGCTGTGCACACCGGTAATGAGAATAATCCAATGCAGGCGCCTGAAGAGGAGTTGGAGAAATTTTCGCACATCAGTGATGTGAAGAGGCGCACTTATGCAGGTGGGTGGAAGGATTAATATACATATTAGGCAGCTTTTTTTTTGAAAGTTTCGTAGGTAATCAAGATACTGATGAAAATTCAACCGAGCTAAAGATTGCCGGTAATAACAAACTAAAATAGGTGAACTATTCTGGGTAAATATACAGATTAATTGATTCACTTTGGGGTGCTTTGCTTTCTCAAACGAAGTTAAAGGACTCACGGAAGTACCAATGGGGCACGAACCTATTGAGTATATGTTCGGCACGGTCAAAGCCCAACATAAGAACATCTAAAGTAACCATCAAATGAGAAAGAGTTAAATTCCATGAACGGTAAAATATAGAAACAGACTATTGAATTACAAATATGAAACTTAACAGTAAACATTGAACATGTAAACGGTTTTATTTTCAAAGTCCAAAGAATATGTCCACTTTTCCACGCCGTTTTCACGTATGCCGTTTTGAAATAATCACAAATATATTTCTTCCTGAAAATTCTGTGTTTTGATGTCCATGAATGTATGTCCCGTTTTTTATGACCGAAAACCCATGCTCGCTATTTAAACCTAATACTTGTGTCCTGTTTTAAAATAATCCAAAATTTATATGTTCAAACTTTTTACAGTTTTAAAGTTACCAAAAATTTATATTTTGGTTTTAGATACGAGAAAACTATGTCCCATTTATAATTACTAAAAAATATATCCAGTTTTTAAATGCCAAAAAATTATGTCTATGTTTTGATGTCCAAAAATGTATGTCCAATTTTTAAATAACCGAAAACCTATCTCCTGTTCTTATGACCCAACATTTATATCCAGCTTTTAAATTAAAACAAAAATATGTTTAGTTTTTAAACAATCAAAAGTTTATGTCTTGTTTTTAAATGGCCAAAAATGAACGTTAAGTCAAATGACCAAAAACAAATTAGGCATAAAAAAATTATGTCCAATTTTTAATTACTAAAAAAATATGCGCAGTTTTTCAATGACCAAAAAATGATGTCCAGTTTTCAAATGACCAGGTTTTATACGACCATAAATTCGTGTCCAGTTTTTAAGTTACCTAAAATGTATGTCCAGTTTTTATATACGAAGAAAATTATTTACAGTTTTTTATTGATCTTATTGATAATGTTGCCTGTTTTTAAGCGATGACAAATGTATGTGACAGTTTTTAAATTACCAGAAATATATGTTTGTTTTTAAACGACCAAAAACTGATGTCTAATTATGAAATGGTCACGAAAAATGTATGTCCAATTTTTAATAACTAAAATATCATATTCAGTTCTTAAATGAACACATATATATGTCAACTTTTTAAATGACCAAAAATGTATGTCCAGTTTTTAATTAATCAACAATTTATGTCCTTTTCTAAATGACCAAGAATTTATATACTGTTAGTAAATACCATAAAATTGTGTCGAGTTTTTTTATGGCCAAAAATTTATGTCCAGTTTTTAATAATAAAAAATGTGTGCGCAGTTACAAAAAAACCAACCATTTTCAAATGATAAAAAATGTGTACGTAGATTTTAGTTGCCCAAAAATTATATCCAAGTTTTTTACTCGATTACTAAAAGATACATGATTTTTTATCGAAACTTTTAGGACAATGATTTCAGCGGCTAAGCCACTTAACTCAAGCCTTTCATATTTTCAAGCTTGATAATTCCAGTTTGGGCTGAATCTCTTTAACCTTGCTTTTTGTATTACACATTTACATACGTCTCAAATTCTGTTCTAGGCATGATCTCCCGCCTGGATGACAGCGTTGGCCGCGTAATACGTGCGCTCTCCAACAAAGCTATGCTTAACAACTCAATCGTACTGCTATACTCAGACAATGGTGCACCCACTGTGGGTATACACTCGAATGCTGGCTCCAATCATCCCTTCCGCGGCGTAAGTATACATATTAAGAAACAAATAAATTAACCGCAATTAACTGTTATTTAACACCTTCGACCACACAGCAAAAGGAGTCACCTTGGGAAGGCGGCATACGCTCCGCTGGTCTGATTTGGAGCCCACTGTTGCAGCAACAGAGCTACGTTTCCAATCAAGTAGTGCACGCCATCGATTGGCTACCCACATTAACGAGCGCTGCTGGCATTGAACTACCGTCAAAAATGAAACTCGATGGCGTTAATTTATGGCGCGTGCTCAGCGAAAATGGTGCAGCACAACCGCGACGCCTGATTCACGTGCTGGACGACAACGTCGGCTATAGCGCTTTCACACGTGGCACCCTAAAGTATGTGAATGGCACGAGCTTCAATGGTCTCTACGATGGCTGGTTGGGTGACTTACCAACGGCAGAGCAGGACCCCACCGCGCCATATTATGTTCAGCAGGTGCTATCCTCAGAGGTACACCACGTGCTGGGTAATGAGGAGCTCAGCGTGGAACAAGTGGAACGATTGCGTGCACAAGCAACGCATGAATGCCCCAACAACGAGGAGAATTACACACAGGCTGTGTATCGTTGTGAGCCGTTATTGGAGCCATGTTTCTTCGATATCGAAAAGGATCCTTGCGAGCGTTATAATTTAGCCAAACTGTATCCGCTACAGGTACAGCTGTTGGCACAGGAGGTGGAACAGTTTAGGGAGAGCGCAGTGGAGAGTGCGCGTCGGGATTACAGTGATCCGCGCTGTGATCCTGCCCTACATGGCGGCGTTTGGGAATGGTGGGCAGAGACGTCGGCTGCGAACGGACGATGCCATATGCACATGGCGTTCGGATTGGTAACAGCAGCGGTCAATGTGATATGTGCGCTTGTGTGGCGTGTCGCTCAGTTTGAATTTTAATCAGCGGAAAAGCGGATTTTTATTGCATTTAATTATTTGATTTAAAATTTTTTAATTTTAAGAAAAAATATTTGTTAAAGTACTTACTTAGTAACTGCCATACAAAATTGAATAAATTATTAAACAAAGAAAATCGTATAAAGCCCTGAAAACTTCGAAAAT